TTTATAGCGCTGGGGGTCAGGGGCAGAGCCATCTGCCAAGTGGGTTTTTGTGGAGAAATGAAAAGTTGTAACTTACCCCCCAAATGAAATTGAATTTAAAAAAATCATTCCCTTTAAATAATTATGTAAGATAATTCATTGGAGTGTTTCTCCTTTTTAATTTGATTACGTTACGAGAAAACATTAAATTCTTCTTTGTAGGTTGTTTTCCCATAACAAGATGGCATTTTGATGATAATAAAGGTAATTACACAAAATGAATTTTGTATTATATCAAAAGAGAGCGAAGAAAAGAGCTGTGGTTCAGTGGGTCGAGCCTGAGCTCTGGAGCCATCCCTAATCGGAGATCACTCTCTCTCAGAGGAGTGTCGGGGAATGTCTGCTCAGTGCAGCTGTCAGGGTGAGCTGGAAGGAGGCAGCTGAACACCTAGGTGGGTGCCTGGCCCACAGCAGGCAGCCACTACATAAAAGCAACGACTACTAGGACTTCTGTTCATGTACAGAGGACAGTGACTGGAGCAATTTGAAGTATATTCATGAAAGTATGTTAGGAGTCCCAGGCTCTTGGGCAGCTGTGATGTCACACTGGCAAGGACAGTACCCTGTCCCGCCAAAAGGGCAAGCGGGCCCTGGAGGTGGCTCTGGCTGCCAGGTGACCGAGGTTACAGCTGAGCTACAACTGTCCGTCTCAAAACAGGGACCGCCCCTCTGAGCTTTCCCGAAACCAGGACTGAAGGGAGTGAATGACCTGTAGGTGACAAGGACAAGGAGCAAGGAGGCAGGAGAGTCAGGGAGAGGTTAGGGAGGGCGAGGTGCCAGTCAAAGGCTCTGCTTTCCCCAGGAAATGAGCTCATCCCAAGGCACGCCCGCTGGAGAGAGAGCTGCCGGAATGTTAGAACAACATTAGCATCAAAATTAGAAAGGGGAGGGTTTGGTTTGGGTGCAGAGAGATTTGCATGAGAAATTCTACAAAATTGCCAGACGACTTGGTAAACTATTTTTTGCCATGGAAACAAAACCCATCTGTACAGTGTTCATGCCTGGATAAATCTCTCTTTAAATACCATGAACCTGGCCCTGGTTTCTTTGCTAGAAGGAGGGGGTGGAAGGAGGAGGGGAGCCCAGCTTTTTATTTTTAGATGCAGGAGTAAGTCACATCAGAGCAGGGCCGCATGCTCTGTCTACACAGTGACGTGGGCTTTGCTACAACAGCGGCGGGGACGGGAGCCCAAGGAGACAGGGGCGCCTGGGAGACACTGTCTACAGGACAGGGAGGCTGTAAAACTCAGAGGAGCATCCATTCTGAAGAGGGAAGACAAACGGAACTGATTGTCCCTGACTGCCCTGCGTCCCCAGGTGTCAGCTGGACCCGCACACCAGCGCACCTGACAGCGCCCTCCTCAGAGGCAGCCTGCACACTCCTGCTGCTCGGCTGAGCACTGGGGTTTGCTCCCCCAGAAACTATCCTTCCGAGTCTTGGCCACCCTATCGGATGGTGGGTGGTGAGCTCCAGAACGCAGGGACTGCCTGTGTCCTGACCCAAGCCCTGCTCCCTCTCCTGGTCCCTCCTCCTAGTGCGGCCACCAGCCCCACAGCGACCCTCTCGTCCCAGACACTGCACACCCTCTTGTCCCACAGGGGGCAGCCTGTCCCCAAAAGTGATCCTCTGTCCAGCTTCCTCCCAACACCTTGCATCACCCCACCCCCACCCTCTAGTCTGGTCTTACATAAGCCAGCCTGTCAGCTCCCTTTCCTCCGTTCCCTTAGGTGGCCATGAGGCTGCTGCCCTGAGCAGGCGCTTCAGAGGCTGCAGGAGGCCGGCACACTGGACATGTGTCTACATGTGACATACATGGCTGTGCCTCGTTCAAAACCACCACGACCTAAAAGTCTGAACTCACAAGAGGAATAGATTTGGGGGGAGGAGGAGGTGTGAATATTCACATTCAAAATGGGTCCCTTTCTTCAAGATTCCGGCAAGTTCACTCACAGCCCCGCATATTTCTCAATGTGCGGTCACTGCGCCGGAACGAGACTGACGGAGATGGGCCACACGTGGAGACGCCTGTGCGTGCTGACCTTGGGTGGCCCACGTGCAAAACCAGCTGACACTGGCGCTTCGGGGACACGTTATTGTGTAAAAAGAATCCACTTCTGTGAGGTAACCTGATGCTACGAAGTGTTACCCACTTCCCACCCACTCCTGGTCCCCAAACAGTGGCAAACATACTGCAGGGGAGAGCTGAGCTGAGACAGTGAGGCGAGATTTCTGAGGCAAAAATAAAAGCAAACACCGGAGCCCTTTGGCTGCTTCTGGAACAGCCCTCCCGGGAGGAAGCAGGCAGCTGCTCTCCGGGCTCCTGCTGGGGATCAGGGAGGCTTACCAAAGCAGGACTGTGTGGGGAGCCGCCCCGCGGCAGCAGCAGCTTGACGATGTCCAGGTGGTTGTGGTGGACGGCCATGTGCAGGGGAGTCAGGCCGTACTGCGGGGGGGAAGGGGGAAACGACAGAGAGAACAGCCTTCACTCAGCGGACTTTCTTCTCAGAGATCCCTTTAGCTATAGCAGCACCATTCTGGGGTCCACGTCACTTCTTTTACGCAGGTAAAATCTGGTTAAAATCATTCCAGAATGCCCTGGCTGGGTTGCTCAGTGGTTAGAGCATTGGCTCATGGACCAAAGGATTGTAGGTTTGATTGCCGGTCAAGGGCACATACCTGGCTCAGGGCGTGTGTAGGAGGCAACCAATCAATGTGTCTCTCTCTTTCTCTTTCCTTCCCTCCCTCCCACCCCCTCTCTCTAAAAAAAAAAAAAAAAAAAAATAAATGGAAAATAAAATCCTCCTGTGAGGATTAACAACAACAACAACAACAAAACCATTCCAGAACCAATCTTGATCAGAAGTCACTAAGGGCACAAGCAGCCGGACCCAGGGCCACCTCCTCCCTCCTGCTGGGCCCGATGGGGCAGCGCCATCAGCACACTGGCTCAGAGAAGGCCACCGGGTCTTTCCAGAAGGTCAAGGCCTTTGACAGAAAGACCAGTCTTCCTGAAGGTCATTCTCTCTGATAGCTGCCCATTGAGAAGATGGATAAAATGGGCACAGGCAAGTCACGCCCTTCACAAGTAGTGGTTTACCTTTTGCTCAGGCTTCTAACCCGAGACGGGGAGGCGAGGGCACACTCACCTTTCCGGCGGCGTTAGGGTGTGCGTCCCGCTCCAGCAGCACCTCTGCCACCCGAGCCCTCCCGTACTTGGCCGCCACATGGAGAGGGGTAAATCCTTTCTGAGGAGAAACACAGGCTGTCAGAGCCACGGGAGCCACAGGCGTCTCCCTGGAGCAAGGGCCAGGGCAGAGGAGGTGTCCCGCCTTAACAAGCATAGAGACGCCCGTCAAATAACGGACCAGAATTTCTGATCCCTCCGAGAGGCCGCAGGAATCAGCAGGGTTCCTCCCCCATCCCCGGCCCCCCTTCTCGTGGTGAGCAGAAAACCATCTTTCATTGTGATTCGACCATTATCTCGTTGAAGGCAGGGGTTGAGTCTTACTCCTTCTAATATCCCAGAACCTGCTGGTTTGTCTAGAGCAGGTGCTGAGCCAATAGCGATTCCGAGATAAATGGATGAAGGCTGAATGGGTGAGTGGGAAACTACAGTCCACTGCCTTTCTGGGAGAGAACCAGGACATATCAGACTCCCAAATGGTGGCCAGTCCTGTGGGGTGCTGCCCCCTAACACTTTCAGCACAATTAAGGCAACACAGAGGATCAGGTGGGAATGCCCTCCCTTGCCCCCAGGCCCAGCAGTGAGTGGCCTGGGGTAGTTGCTGCTAGAGAACAGGAGGAGGAGGCTGTACCTTGGTCATGCATGCCTGGGACGCTTCCTTTTCCAGCAGGGCCAGAGCCGTTTCCACGTGGCCCTCTCGAGCTGCAATGTGCAGGGGGGTGTGCCCGGCAGTGGTGGTCAGGTTGGGGTTGGCACTGTTTTCTAGCAGGAGCTTCACCATGTTTGTATGGCCGATGCGAGCTGCACAGTGAAGTGGGGTCTGGTCATCCTGGAACCCGGAGTGGAAAAGAAGAAGAGGGGCTACTAAGGTTAACTAATCCAAAGCTTCATCTTACAAAGAAGGGAGGTGATGCCCAGAGAGTTACGTGACTTTCTCAAGGTCACACAGCTAGTTACATAAAGAGGTGGCATTCAAATCACATCTCTGAGTTACAGAAACCAATATGCTATGTCTTATTCAATCCTTACAACAACCTCTTAAGTTAGTAGCTATTTCTACCTAGTTGCCCAAAGGCTCAGCCTTCCCATCTGTGAAGTGGGAGTAATAATATCAACCTCTTAGGACAGTGATGGCGAACCTATGACACGTGTGTCAGAGGTGACACGCGAACTCATTTTTTTGGTTGATTTTTCTTTGTTAAATGGCATTTAAATATATAAAATAAATATCAAAAATATAATTCTTTGTTTTACTATGGTTGCAAATATCAAAAAATTTCTATATGTGACACGGCACCAAAGTTAAGTTAGGGTTTTTCAAAATGCTGACACACCGAGCTCAAAAAGTTGGCCATCACTGTCCTAGGACTATGGCTAGGATCAAGCAGAGAGTGTGGATAACATGTTTCACACACTGTTTGGTAGGTGATACGCTCTCAACAAGTTGTAGTGGTAATTACCGCGTTCAGCCCAATCTGAGTGGACACTACATCTACCTCTTTGATGCTGCTTTGGGTTTCTCTATGCCAAGGGTCATTAGAGTCTACACTGCTGAAGAGGAAAGAGGACTTCTTCACCCCATCCCAACCCTTCCTGTTCATGCCTGATGCTGAAGGCATTCAGTGGGTGAGGTCTCTGTGTTGTTGGGCTCAGCGGGGCAGTGGGGGAGGGGGAGGCCTCCCTCACGTGGCCCAACCAGAAACCAGAGTCTTAACTCTAAGCAGAGCCTCTGCCACCTGTGGGGTAGGAAAGTCTGGTCTTGGCCAAAGCCAATCAACTTGCTGACTCAGCAGCTAGTCTTATTCTTCACCCACCAGGCCCTCGAAATGCCTTTTCCAACAAGGGGGAGGCATCCATTTTTAGATCAAGTCATTCCTGACTGATTTTCACTGGCAACACTTTCTTTAAAAAGTCGCTTCTCTTCGTACACCACTACTGTAACCACCATGAAACCCTTTCAGCCCAATAAGCGCTGCAGGCCAGCCACGCTCCTGGACTTGCATCATCCTGAAGACACGTAGCTCTGAGCAAACCCGTCTCTGGCCTTGTCAGAACCCCTGCCAAGCAGGACCGAGTGTTTAGTGCGGTGGCCATGGGAACGACAAGGAATCATTGTGCCACCAGCACTGCGGCCAGGCCTCTAATTAGGGTGGGTTTCTCCGCATGGAGCTTGAATAGCTTGCGTCCCAGGGTCCTTCCCACCTCCAGGACACACCTTGGCCTTGGCATTGACTTTGGCTTTGTTCTGGAGCAGGTATTTGGCGACTTCCATGTGCCCTGCCCTGGCTGCCATGTGTAGCGGGGTCTCCACTTTCTGTAAAATAACGAAATTATAGACCTGTTAATACATGCTGGGTTTCCCCAAGGGCACACGCAGGGCTCTGAAGCATGAGCCTGGAGAAGGTTGGCAGGTTTCCATCCAAGAGGTGGAGTTGCCCCAGCAAGCAGCTCCTTCAGCCTTCAGGCTGCTGCCGTGTGTGTGTGTGTGTGTGTGTGTGTGTGTGTATTCTAAGTATACACACAGGTAAACCCCAGAGCTCATGAATGTTTAAAACTGCAAATGTATTCCCAGATAACACAGAAGTTCCTAAATTATTGTCCAAAATACATCCTCCAAAACTTGCAGATGTGTGACAAGTTTAATTGGGAAAGTGTCAGTATAAATGGACGTTCTCCCCAAGTCCAAAGCTTCTGCTCTTCTGAGAATTCTACTCTGTCCCCAGAGAGGAGATCTAGGGATCACTGGCTAACGCGGACCTCTGAGGCTCCTTGGGCCAGCGTGTAAGCGGCCCTCTGAGCTTTTGGTGTCAAGAAAAGAGCCCTTGTCGGCCCTCTGAGGCTCCTTGGGCCAGCGTGTAAGTGGCCTCTGAGGCTTTTTGGGCCAGCGTGTAAGTGGCCCTCTGAGCTTTTGGTGTCAAGAAAAGAGCCCTTGCTGTCCCCACAGGCTTACCACGTTGGAGACATTGGGCGATGCCCCCCGCTGCAGGAGGTTCTTCACAATGGGCAGGTGCCCCATGAAGGAGGCCACGTGGAGAGGGGTCAGGCCGGACTGGAACAGAAAAGAGGAGTGAGAAGAGAGAGGACTTCCCCACTCCTCCAAAGAAGAGACAGCCAGATGTCGCTGAGGCTTTCCTGCCTCCAGCTGCTCTAGACTAGTTTTCCAAGAAAAGGGGGTTAAATGAGATGGGTTCATTTCCAGGAAAATGGCTGGAGGGAAAACATCATTCACTACAGGATGATTCTGCCCACTTTTACAACTCAAAGAAAGCTCCCTGAGACTTGACACAGGTTCCCTTGTCTCGGTCACCCCCGATATGTTCTCTGGAGCAGTCTAGACTTGCATGCACACGCACACTCCTGTGGCCACACATGGCTACACAGGACAACTCTCCAGGAGGCCATGGGAGGAAACTGTGGGGGGAGGCCACCCGCTCACCTGCAGAGTTTCTCCTACCTCGGTGACAGCGTCGATGGAGGCCCCCATCTTCAGCAGCAGCTCCATGACCCGGATGTGGTTCTTCTTGCAGGCGATGTGTAAGGGGGTGAAGCCATTCTGCAGCCCCACACAAAGGGAGACAGACAAGCGGGCGCTGACATGCCAGCCCAAGGGGCACCCAGACCACCTTGCTGAGTGAGAGGCAGCCTCTGCCCCAGCCTGTCAGCAATTCCCCACAGACCAGAACGTCACTTACTGCAAATCGCTGCAGAGGCCTGTGGCTCTCACTTCAGGCACCAGGCACGTTCCTGAGCATGTTGTCTATAAACCTTTTCTAAAAATTTAATCATATTCTTGGATGCACTGAAAGAGCCTGCTGTTTAAAGTCTCTTCAAGGGGAAATTTACACGGAAGAGTGTGTTTGCGAAGCCAATCACATTTCCTCTTCTCAGAGACTGATGCTCATGTTTAGTAAAACGGATTTCTGTGCATCAGCTCTGCCCTAAAGTAATACGCTAAACCGTAAACTCCACCAGGGCAATGATATTTGCTTGCTTGTTTTTGTCTACTCGCTGGTGTTTTTCGGTGCTTTATCCCCCTAGGGCAGTGGTTCTCTAAGTATGTGTGTGTGTGAGGGTGTCCCCCCATCCCCACCCCGGGACATGTGGCAATGTCTGGAGAGATTTTGATTGTCACCACTGAGGAGAAATGCTATTAACACCTAGCAGGTAGAGGCTGGGGATGCTGCTACACATCCTCTAGTGCACACGGCAGCCCGCCCCCCCTCCCCGGCCACAAAAAGTATCAGGCTCAAAATGTCAACAGTGCTGAGGCTGAGAAACTCTGACCACCTGGAACAGTGCCCTGCATGTGGTACAAGCCTGATGAGAGTTTTCTGAATGAATGATTGAACCATCCTTGCAGTCAGAGGCTACTCTGCCTTCCAAATTCTCTCTCTAGAGAGGGGGTCCAGGGCAGGCTCTGGGCAGAGCTCCAGCCCCTCAGGTCCCTGAACTACCCAGGAGGGGATTAGCTTTAGGCCTGAACTCACCTCTGCAGAGCAGCATGAACACTCTGCAGAGGAAGGATGCATAGTTATCCAGGCCATTTCACTCACCCACAGAGCATAGAAAGCCAGGCGGTCTCTAAGAAATCACCGTCCCTCTGCTCTGGGCCCAGCTCAGATGGAGTGGCACCCTCAGCCCAGGTGCAAACCATGAACTCTGCTTCCTGAGTCAGGGCTCCTGGGCCCAAATGCCTCCCCTGATCTCAGCCTGTAACTGGGGCTGCTGTCAGCGGGGGTCACTGTCCTGCCTGTGCACCGCCATGCCCCGTGAGCACGCACTGACACCTTCCAGGTCAGAGCCCCTCCCTGGAGGCTCAGCCAAGTAGCTCTGGTCCTGCCTCCCTTGGTCTTTGTCCCTCTGGCACCTTCTCCAACAGCCTCCCACTCACCAGGGCTCTGGAGTTTGGTTTGGCCCCTTTGTCCAAAAGGACCTTGGCCACTCTGTGATGGCCGCAGTGGGCTGCCACGTGGAGGGGGGTCAGGTGATCCAGGGTGATGTCATCTATTTCTGCGTTGTATTGCAATAGAAGTCGAACACAGTCAAGGTGGTCTCCCTGAGCCGCCATGTGAATTGGGGACAAGCCGTTCTGGGTGGAGAGGGAAGAAAACAAGTAATCACAAAGGCTTCTGGAGACAGAACACGGCAATTCAGGGCAATGATTCCAACCTCACTTCCTGCTTCTTCCCTACACGATGCTTCATGTGGAAATAGGGTCATTGTAGGTGTTGTTAGTTAAGATGAGGTCATTAGTGTGGGGCCTATTCCAGTATGACTGCTGTCCTTATAAAAAAGAGAAATTTGGCTTGGCTGGTGTGCCTCAGTGGTTGAGCATCGACCTACGAACCAGGAGGTCATGGTTCGATTACTGATCAGGGCACATACCTGGGTTGTGGGCTCAATCCCCAGTGGAGGGAAGAGGGGCAAGGTGTGCAGGAGGCAGCTGATCAATGCTTCTCTCTCATCATTGATGTTTCTATCTCTCTCTCCCTCTCCCTTCCTTCTGAAATCAATAAAAAACTTTTTTTAAGGAGAAATTTTACACAGACATACACACAGAGAGAACACCGTGCAAAGATGAGAAAGAGATCTTGGTGATGCTTCTACAAACCAGAGACT